CTTTTAGTAGGGTTGTAGGATAATTGGAAGGGAAATTATGATATCTCCCACAAATGCCAATTGTATAGAATAGAAGTGCTGCCCCTTTGTTGAATTCTTGCTTCAAAGGTGTAAAATAAGACAAAGAAACCCCACCCAGGATATAATGCTTTCTGAATATAGTATAATTTTTTCGTTCCATCCGTTTGGGATGTATTTGTGATTTCATTTCTTCTGTATGTTTTGAAGCAATCAGCCAATTTTATTAAAGAACGGGGAAGTTTTGCACTGGAGGAGATCAGTTTTTATGGCTGGAAGCGAATCATGAATTGGGGTGTCAGATCCATGCTTCCAAATATATTAGGAATAGCATTAAAGGCCAGTCTTTGACGTTCCTGTCCCAAATGGGGAGGAAGAAAGTCCAGTCAAACACATGGAGAAAGAAACACTGAATATTTGCTCCCTGTGGCACTGTAGAGGCCAGCTAGTGTAGGTCGATTCTGGACTGTTTGTGACTTCAAACCAAAGTGCTGAGTCAAAAGGCAGTAGAAGCAAAACTGTCCTCTTAACATTTCTTATACTAGCTAAATATGCATCGCTTCTCCATTGAAGGAACATTATTCTCAGAGTGTGGAAGGTTCAGCTAGGGCTAGCTTCCAGGGAATTACATTTCAACTGAGGGTAAAGATTTATTAATAAAAACATTATTAGTAATAAATACGTCAGGTTTCTTAGAAAGGTCTAGATGAAAATGTAGTCATTAGAAGCTGGGTTGTCAAGAATTTTGTTTGTTTCCAGTCTTTAAAGGTCATGTAGTCCAACTCCTCCAGCAGTGAGCAGGGACATCTTCAGCTAGATCAGATTGCTCAGAGACCTGTCTAACCTGACCTTCAGTGTTTCCAGGGATGGGGCAGCTACCACCTCCCTGGGCAACTCATTGGTTTTATTTCCCCCCTTACATTTAGTTTGTATCTACCTTCTTTTAGTTAAAACCATTATCCCTTTTCCCATCACAGTGGGCCCTGTTAAAAAGTCTGTCTCCATCTTTCTGATAAGCTCCCTTTTAAGTACTGGAAGGCTGCTATAAGGTCTCCCCAGAGCTTTCTTTTCTCCAGGCTGAACAACCCCAACTCTTTCATGTTAATTGCTAAATAGAAAAACTTAGTATGTATGCATAGTACAAAATTACCAGTGCAGATTAATTTATAAACAACAGGACCGAGAGCACTAAGAAGATAGTGATAATGCTAGAAATCAATACTGTGCTTTTCCTCGAATCACCGGGGAGGATACTTAGCCATAAAGAAGTATGCCTTTTTTTGCTAATCAAGTGTCTGCCTGGTATAACGTTGTGGATCCTGAGTGCTGACAAAAGGGCTACTCGCATGGTTTCTGTTGTTCAGATTTGGGGTAGATAGGTTTTATGTTTGTGTTCTGTGATATATTTTACTGTTATTCTTTCCTATACCAATTTGCTGCTCTGCAAGAACAGTGGACCAGATACAGTTTCCAGCTGCAAAGGTGATGCAGAGCAACTAGTATTGTGGAAGATGTTTGCATAACTCATTTCTATTCTGATGTCCAAACTAAGGGAAAAACAGAGCAAGAGAAGATAGGATTCAGAGAAGGGGCAGGAAGGATTCAAGCATGAAGAGCTCTTCACTTGAGAAGATTGGTGCTATTCAGAGGCAGTAAGAGACTGGAGAAACGTGATACTCATCAAAACAAATCTCATGAGAAAAGACAACCTAGATGCTTCACTTTGCTTGTCCATGGTCACACAGAGTTGATCAATGAAAGTCCAAAAACGTAATAACAATGAGGTGTGCTCTGTACCACATCATAGCCTGGAAATCCATGCTCCTGTGCTGTCATTATCTTAGCCAGTTTTCCAGAAGAATCCAACATAGAAGTAAATAATTGAATAATGAGAATAAAGCAACTGTATCTTAATACCTTTAGTTATTTTACCTTCTAAGTCGCGTAATGGTTCATGACCAAGCCTAACTTCCTGGCAGTAGAAAATACTTTTTTCTAGCACCTTAAGCAGCCTACATAAAGGGAAAAAAGTACGTCAACAAAGCTATTTGGCAAGGTCTTCCCATTTGGGAGGGAGCCTGAAAACTCCTGTTAACTCTCACTCTTAATGTCTGGTTTCTCAGTGTACGGAATATTAGTAAAATGGAAAAACTTATGTCTTTCAAAACAAATCTGAAATGTGTTTGGCAGTTGGGTGTCCCTCTCCACACATCAGCATGCACGGGACAAGCTGTACAATGAGGGAGGTGGTTAGCACATGAGCTTGAGTCACAGTAGATAAGTGTTTCTATAGCAGCCACTTTTGAGGGAAGGGGAGTATAGAGGTTCTCTAGGGACAGCAGAGTGGTGTCTGCTGTAACTGGAAGAAACTTGGTTTTGCCCATATCTTGCTCTTTGTAAGTCAAAATGTTAGTACAGAGCTGGATTATGCAATACCTCTGTTAATGGATGGACTGACAAAGTCTGTATTTCAGTTGACTTTTTTTTTGGTGGAATTTTAATTTGTTATTGTCATTGAGAGCAAACAGTTTGAATAGAAGTTTTCACACTTGCAGGCTGGATTGTTTACTACCATTTATTGCTGGGTGGATGAGACATTGAGTCTCGATGACAATAGACTTTCTGGTGCAGAAAAACGCAGCCTGGAGTATATAATGCTACTTCCAAAGTTGTGTGTTTCAACTTCTTTGATCTGCAGGCTGCCTTGAAACTTCCCTGCTGAAGCATAGAGCCCTGCAACTGTGAAATTAAGCAAACTGTCTGCCTGCCTGCTTTCCTCAGTAACCTATGACAGATGCCTTAGAAACAGGCCATAACCTTGCGTGATGCAGCAGATGAGAGGTTTAGGGCTCTGGTCTGGTTGAGTCAGTGAGCTGAGAGCAGTGGTAATAAAAGTGATGGGACAAGCTTGTTAGCAGAAGGGTGCGTGGGTGCTTAAACACCAGCGTGGAGGTGCCTGTTTAGTTTGATGATATGCAACTTGTGACATAGAAAACTGAAGGAAAACCTAAGGGGAGGAAAGTGGTGGGCAGATCTCATCTCACTAAGCAGGGTTCCTGTTGCTGCCTTATGCCAATAATTTTATACCAAAAAATCTAGCCTGTAAATACGTCAATGGGGAATATACTAGATGTGTATCCACAGGACCAAGTGCAAGGTCTTCCTTGCACTTGGGACAGTCCCAAGCACCGATATAGGCTGGACAGTGACTGGCTTGAGAGCAGCCCTGAAAAAAAGGACTTGGGGGTACTGGTGAATGAGAAGCTCAACATGAGCTGTCAGTGTGCACTTGCAGCCCAGAAAGCCAATCATGTCCTGGGCTGCATCAAGAGGTGCGTGGCCAGCAGGTCAAGGGAGGTGATTCTCCCCCTCTACTCCACTCTCATGAGACCCCGCCTGGAGTACTGCGTCCAGTTCTGGAGCCCACAGCACAGGAAAGATATGGACGTGCTGGAACGTGTCCAGAGAAGGGTCACGAGGATGATTAGGGGCTGGAGCACCTCTCCTATGAAGACAGACTGAGAGAGTTGAGGCTGTTCATTCTGCAGAAAAGAAGGCTCCGAGGAGACCTTATTGTGGCCTTCCAGTATCTCAAGGGGGCCTTCAAGAAAGCTGGTGAGGGGCTTTTTAGGATATCGGGTAGTGATAGGGCTAGGGGGAATGGATTAAAGCTGAGATGGATCGGTTCAGATTGGATGTTAGGAAGAAGTTCTTCACCATGAGGGTGGTGAGACACTGGCACAGGTTGCCCAGAGAGGTGGTGGAAGCCCCATCCCTGGAAGTTTTTAAGGCCAGGCTGGATGGGGCTCTGAGCAGCCTGATCCTAGGGGGGGCTGTCCCTGCCCATGGCAAAGGGGTTGGAACTAGATGATCTTTAAGGTCCCTTTCAACCCTGACAATTCTATCATTCTATGACACTTTGGTCTGGAAAAGGTCAACTCAACTTCAGCCTGTCTTCAAAAGGTTTAAGGTACTGCATAGAAACAGTAATGGTTTTCTGTGTGCACTGGATATTGAGATTATTTTAGGCTGCTCTATTATCCTGAAGCTGTTGGGGAAACTGGAGAGAACTCTGAGAACGGCTTAAAGCATGAGTGTGGGTTGACTAATCATCTTAGGAAAAGTTATGAGAGCAGTATGTGCAGACTGACAGCTCTTCTGGAAGAAGATGCATCATTACAAACAGCAGCATAGTGTACATGCTAATAAAGGAGAGAATGATGGATTATAGTTGTTAGGATTGAATAGTGAGAGAAAGCTGAGAAAGCTAAGCTTAATAACAGGAAACACTTTCCAGTCATGAGGTCTATTTGGACTTCAAAAGTGTCTTACAGGGAAATGATGGTAGTCATGCTAATTAGGATATTCAGGAAAAAAAGCTGATGAATAAATAAATGTAGAAACCTGTGTTACTTTAAAAGTGGATATTCAAAGATGTCTTGGCCTGTTCAGAAAATTCAACAATACAGATAAAGTGAAAACTATCTTTCTGTTTTGAAGATGCTATCCATACCTATCTAACTGCCCAAATACCCCATTTCAGGCTGCAGATTTCTTTTAAAGTAGCAAATTCCCCAGGCTGACCAGTGCCAGGAAAAACTTTGTTTTCTCTGAATCTTGGGGAAAAAAATCAGAAAATCATAAAAGGAGGTAACGTGAAATTGCCATCAAGGTGATTGCTCTGTCCTTGGTGACTGTTGGGTCCTGAGCTCTCAGGATGAGGACTCAGGTTCGCCAATTCCCAGGCCAGGATTAAGGTGAGTCGCACCAAAGAGCTGAACACCAGTTTTATTTATCAATCAGCAAAGAACTAACCATGATGTATTTCAGTTGTCCACTTAGCATAATGAACACGGCCCACAGTAAAGAGCCATTAGCGAGCAAAAGAACCGGCCTCTCCATAGATAGCCTTTTGTTAAGACGAGAAAGAGAGAGAAAGAAAGTGACAGAAAAAGGAAAGATCACCACCCTGGGATCCAGCGATGGCCATGGCACACGCAGCCATCTTCTGTGGTGGGTGAAAAGCGCACAACCGCCAGGGGTTCTTGCCTTTTATACTGACAGGTTCCCACCACACCGCGTCGTTTACCCCTTGTGGAAAATTACTGGGAATGGGTCTGCAGGGTGGTGGGGTCTTCTGAGGGAGGGTCACCCATCCATCTCCTGGCTCGTTGCAGCCCCAGCTCCAAGCCCTGCCTGCCCCTACACCATGGACAAGGCCTGAGTCACCCCTGCACCAACCGGACAGATGCCAGGCCGGTGGCCGTGGCCTGTTTAGGTTCCAGGCTGTTTGAGACATTCATTTTAGCAGTCCCTCACAGCGGCTTCTCACTCTTCCCCTACCTTGTGCTGCTGAAAGGTCCAAGTTTATCAGGTTACAAATAGGAGCTTTTTTAATGCTTTGCAGTAACTTTGGAATTCAGATATTTACTGAATGCACTGTAGGACGGGGGCGGGGGGGGGCAGAAATCATCCCCACTTGCTGTTTGTGAACAGTTATTTGTGTTGCGACAAATAAAGGTACGCTTTGAGATTTCTGTGAATTTGTACTATGTAATGAATAAAAAGAATGGTGCGTGTTTCAAAGTATTTGTGTAGTTCTGTGCATTTCAGTATCCCTGTTTTCTTTAGGTGATGTCCTGACTAATATAGAAAGTTCTCGTGCACGGTGGCAGTAAGTTATGGTTTTAGCGCATCTCTTTAAAGGACTTATTAGTCTGTTACTCTGAGATTTCTTTACAATGGTGATGCAGTGTACTGAAACCTTAAAATGAAGGTCAAACTAACCTTAAATCACCTTGCTATTGAGGAAAGGAGTAGGGTTCACATTTTTCTCCAACCTTTAGTGTGTCTGTACATCCCAGTTGGGAGTGTCTCTTAGTTCCTGGATGGAAGGCATTACTGGTTCATTTCCTCCTACTCCCAGGTAATGAGGGTAGTGTTCTTCTGTTCTTCAGTCCAGCCTGCACCAGTGTCTTTTCTGTGTTCTCTCATGTCTGCATTTGACGGATCTGTCCAATTTTTCTGATGTGATTTCAGCTTCCAAACAATTTGCCGAAGAAGTCTTGAAAGCGCACAATGACTACAGGAAGAAACATGGAGTCCCCCCATTAAAACTCTGCAAGAAGTTAAACAGAGGAGCCCAACAGTGAGTTCAGTCCTTTCTTTTCTCTAATGAGATTTGTGACACTTATCTATTAGGTTTGACTGTGCAAACTGCAAAAATACTTGCCTTTTGACATGCTCATATTCAGTGCTGATTTACTGCATGGAAAGGGAGGGATTGTACTCTTTCTGCCTCCCTGCCCAACTCTTACTGTCCCTTCTTTTTTCCATCACATGGCACCAGCTGGTCACATGGGCACTTCTGCGGTCACAACTGCATAAATCTTTCTTGCACCCTTTTCCAGATGTGCATCTCTCTACACTGGTATGTCTCCCCTGCAATGGGTGGTTGCCTAAAACATGGTTCACCACCACTTCTGTCAGGAGAATATCAACTGCTGCTGAAACAGTGAGAAAAGAACTTTTTCATGGTAGGAAGCAATGACTGGTCTAAGATCAATAGAATCAGAAGAAAGTAACTTCAGATCCAATTGTCTATCTCCTTGCCCCCAAAGCAAAATATACCTTGTCTGATGCTGAAGACTGCACAACTTCTTATCAGCCTTAACGTACAGTGGGTCCATCTTTCTGCTGTCTGACTTCAATCTTTCTTGCAGATATTTGAGTCCAATCCTGCTTGTTCTCTTTGCTGTAGATATGACAACCAGATTATTTCCTTTCCCTTCATAGGAACATTTTTCAAAGTAGGCTTGAAGTTCTTAATTTTCTTTTCAGTGTGATCTTCACAGTATAAAGTATATACCTGAAGGAGTAAATGCTGATTAAACTATTCAGAAAGTAAATGTATTTCCATAATAGCTAAATAGTGGCCAGTTTGAATCTTCAGACATGAGATCTCATCTCCCATTAGGCTTTCTGCCATAACTGTGCAGACTTCTCCATGCTGGCTGCCTGGGAGATAGAAAGCCTTTACCCTTCCAGAATCTGATTTCTCTCCTGGCATGGTGCTGCATTGTCACACAGATGGACCAGCTCCTGCACTCCTAGACCAGAGATCTCTGCCAGGGACGTGGCGTGTGGACATGCCCTCTGGCAGTGAGCAAAATCTGATTGATTTTGTTTTTATAATTTCCTTTTTTTTTTTCTTTTGTTTTCTTGACACACCACAATAACTGGATACAGTATTTCTTTCTAAGAGATGGAATGCAAGTGACTCATCCACATACCTCTGTAATCTTCTGGGGTTTTCCTTCTGTTCTTCAAGTGATTGTTTTGTTTCATATTTACAAGATGCCTCATGAGGATGAAATTTCATTGACTCGTCAATAACACTTGTTGTGCCTCCAAAGTGCTGCAGTTGGTTTGTACAAGTCACCTTGTATGAATAGTTAAGATTATTCTGTCAAATATGCATTGCTCCACATTTATCTCTAAGTGTGCTATTGCCCTTGCTGGGTATTTTTAGATCCTTCTGGAATTTCTCACAGCCCTCTCTGGTCTCAGCTGACTTTCCCCACTGTGATGAATAACAATAGGAAACTGTTGTTTGGTTGCAGTCTGGTAACTTAATTTATAAGAATCAAAAGACACATATTCAGAGACTGGTGAAACTGGCAGATAGCAAGAACCAAAAATGGTTTGATATATGTAAGAAATCTTGTATTTGTCAAGACACGTTTTTCCTGATCTTTAATACAAAGAACTTCACCTTTTCATTAGGAATATCTGTTATCTTTGTTGGTATATATCTGGTGTATCTCTGGGTACCTTTCCATGCTTCTCTGTCTATATTGAAAATGGTCTGTTTCCTACCATTGTCAGTTCCAATAATTGAGACAGGTTAGATAAACTGACTATTGTATCCCTGCTTTAGCGTGAGATGAGTCACCCTCAGCAGGTGTCTGTTTATCTCTGACTGTAATGAAGCACAGGGTGATGATCTCAGATGCGAACCTCATGCTTTCAACTGCCTGAGCTAGAGTGAATTAATCACTTCTAGTCTCAAATCTTTGGCAACTTTTTCTGTGTGCATTGAGTACTTTGTTCCAGTCTTGCCTCTTGCTTGGGATGTGGGAAACCTTGAAGAGAAAATATAGGGCATGAAGGCTCATCTAGAGGTCTTCTAGCTGAGGATGCAGCAGACTGGCAGCTGACAAATTTTGTTATTTCTAAATAAATGAAGGTAGCGTAATACTTTTAAATTTTGTTTTGGTAGGTGGATTAGAACAGAGGGAAATGAGAACCTAATGACCTTGGGACAAAATGTTCAGCTGGACAAATTTCCTGTCTCTGGCAGATGCCAGTAATTCACAATTAGGGCAGGAGTAGCAGGACAAAACAAGTATGGTGATCCTTCCCCTGTTATCTTCTCCAGGAAATTACAGATTTCTCCTGAAAATTATGGTTTCCCTAAGCAGTAGGTTGTATCCTCTTTTTTTTTTTGTTGCTGTTGTTTAATAAGCCCTGAAGATTCTCCCTGCATACACACTGTAGTTTGTCTAGCTCATTTTCAAACCCACATGTGCTTTGGTGTCTGCATCATCTAGCAGCGATGACTGCTGCTGCGTGGTCTAGAAAGAATGCTTTGTCTTAACTTGACTTTTAAATTTATGACCTGATGATTCTGCCTGTTGCCCCTTATTTCTTGTGCTGTGAGAAATAACAAATGATCTTTCCAGTTTCACTGTGTACTGAAGCCTTTCTAATGTTGAATAAAGAGAATAATTGTTTTACACATGACATTCTTCTTAACCCTATTGTCGTAAGATAATAAAATACATCTCGCACTCACACGTGTCAACTTCTATAGAAACAGTGCTGCTTATCTCTGTGGTGGTGTACACAATTGTTGCCTCGATTATCCATGTGCTCCCCTTCTCTTCTGTAATGTGACCTGGCACATTGCTCTTGTTTTGCATTTGACTTTTTTTTTTTCATTTGAAAATGTATAGATTTTTGTACTTGATTTAACTGAATCCCCACTTTGGTCTTTTTTTTCCCCTGTCTCACTGAGAACATTCCAGTTAATCCCATGAGGGTCTTAGAAATGTCAAGAGGTAACACTTGTAACAGTTGCTGCAGGTCCTTCGCTTTCCACCAGCAGTGGCAGCTAAGGATGGCCAGCAGGTTCCCCGGTGCTGGGCAGAACATGACTGGAGAAGATCTGTCCTTTGATTTCTTCTAGACCCTTCTCTGCAGTGACACAGATGCTCATGAAGGACAGGAAGGATGGCCTCTAGGCTTTCCCTTTGCCTAACTGCTAGATCTATCCTAAGCCTAAAGCATCTCTGGCTTCAGGGCTTTGCAGATGGGAAACTTGGCCTAAATTGTTATCTTCCAGCAAAATTCCTTGCTTGCATCTCCTCTTCCTCCTCCTCCTCATTCTCTTTGCTCACTGTGACTACGATCTGTGATTCAATATGTGGATTCCCGTGCTAGGTATGCAGAAGAACTGGCTACCACAAGGGTCCTCAAACACAGCTCTGAGTCTGCTAATGGAAAATGTGGAGAAAACCTAGCATGGGCATCCTATGACCAACCAGGTAAGTTTTCTTCTCTCGCTGTCTCACAGACACTGAATGAACAGCTTGTCTCATGTAATTTGGGCTCAGAGCATCTGGGTGCAAGAGTACCGGTGTTTCCTATGCGCTGAAAATTTGCCAACTGCAGCCCAGCTCAGCCTCAGCTCCCTGGGGTCAGGATGGTGGTATGCATTCACCTATGTGTACTGAGAGCAAGAAGCATGTGTGCAGAGAACAAGGAGTGGGATAAGGAATGGTGGTAGTGTGCTGTGTTCCTTTGGAAGTAGGACTTGGCGGCTAGGCTGCTCCATGCGTCCCTGCTGTGGAGCTGTCATGAGTGCTGCTGTCCACAGGAGGAGAGAAGGAAGCTGTCAGTGCCTTGTAGTTCACTTTCATCTTTAGGCTGCCCCAGCCAAAGAGAGGGCTTGTCCCCAAGAGAGTTTGTCTCAGCAAAAAGAAGCCAGCTATGGGGAGGAACGTGGAAAAATGGCCATTGCGTTATACATAGCAGTTTCTGTTTGTGGAGGTAAAAATGGCGTGGCGGACACCAGAGCAACAGAGGCTAATGTGTTAGTTGTCTAGTTTCTTTTGCTCTGTCAGCAAGCACACCTTGAGTCCTTTTCCATGCCTTCACTTTTGAAGACAAAAGTACTCTGTATATTTTCTGATTGTAGATATAACATGTAATTGGCAACCGTCAGTTTGGATGCTTGAGGAGGTGAGTTTTGGCCAGGCTCACAGCCTGCCCTGAGCCCTCAGGCAGCGTGATGTTCATTCACCAGAGTCTTCCCTCCTGCCTCAGCCTGCCGAGATAGCAGGTGGGATGCAGTAACAGTGACTGCTTGCTTTCTTAATTCCCGTTTACCCCTGGAATTTGCAGTTTGGCTCTGGGGAGACAGAAGCTCATTTCTGCAGGCTGGGGGGGCCGTTTGCCCTGTTTGAAGGGCCTGAAAATTTTAGTGAGTTTTAGACCCAGGGACAGTGTCTAGTTCCTTTGCAAGTGCCAACTCTAGTCCCCAGTGGGTTCATTTTCATGTTGAAAAAGAAACCCAAGGGTGGAAAAATACAATTTGATCTACTCATATTTGGCATTCTGTCCATTGCAAGGATCTGAGGCAAGGGTTCAGAGCAGCATGGGAAAACACAGATGTATGGCAAAGTTTGGTAGTGGCTGTGACTCACTGACTGAGCTTGCTTCCTTCTTGTTTATCTTAATGGCCTGTGCGCTTTCCGTGAGGTTCAAGTCATCAATTCCCATTTAGAGAGCTGGAAACAAAACACATGAATGCTTTCATAAATTATATAACACCTGTCTTTTTCTGGATCCCATTTGTTGTCTTCAATACACTATTTCCGTACATAACTTGCCAGTTTTGAGCCATTTTATTCCTAATCTTTTTTTATCCCCAGGATTGAATGTCTTGCTGAGAAAATTAAGCTACATCCTATTTTGTTCTGTAAAACACTTCTACATTTCCTATGCAGCAGGATAATTCAAAGTACCAGAATGAGAAAACGAGTTCTCAAAGAAGGTTATTCTCTCGTCTGGGCTTAGTCTTCATCTCTGTGGAGGTAGTTCATTCTTCCTCTTTTTCTCATATAGTTCCCTTGGGAGAGTTAATTCGTATCCTGCTCAGTGAGGCTGAAATTTGTATTAAGGCATCCTTTCAGTGGCTTAACAAAGACAGACAGTGTCTTCCAGTTTCTTTTCCAGATAAAGCAAAACTCAATAAGCCTCCAGCAAACTCTGTATTGTCTCTAAAAAAGAGATGGTGTTGCTTATTTTGGCTCTTACTGAGATCTGTAATAATGCCAGAAGATGTATTTCTTGTTTCAGAGAAAATTTAAACTTTCAACTATAAAAGCCTTCTAGTTCGATCCTTCTGGTACAAGAATACCTTGAATTGTATTCAGGATTTTGGAGTTATGTAGCCTAAAGCTGTCGCTGGAAATATGTTCATCCCTGTAATCCAAGAAATAGCTGACAGCTGTTTCCTCTCTCTAGTCCTGCAGGAACTGCTCCGTGGCAGACTTCTCTTTGTCTGGGTTCAAATATAAGTGAGCTGTCATCTGCCGCTAATGCGAGACCGCGACCTGCCTTGGCAGCTGTAGTGTGTCAGACTTCTCAGGATGCCTCGTCTCATTTCTCATGTGTCGGGAGGCTGAAGGCACTGGGTGACTAAATTCTGGTTGGAATTTAGAGAGTTTCTAAGAGAAATTTGCTGTATGTTGTCACCCAAATCTGTTGTGGGAGAAACCTGGGTCTGCCCACAGGTTGGGGCTGGGGGGGAGAGAGCAGCACGGGGACCCTCTGCCCCAGCCCTGGAGGAGCATGCTCTGACCCAGAGCCTGCCTTGATGCACTTCTTGCTGTCTAGCACCAGGCTTACACAGTACTGTTAAATAAAATAAAGGCCTGCATGTGGAATGCCGGAGCTAGAGAATTACTTCCTAAAACCATTAATATGACTTTATTCTAGAGAGATATTGTATTTTGGGGGCAAATTTAATTTGACCTCGACCTTTTTTCCTTTCAGTCTGGTGGAAGGAAGGTTGTGCTAAGAAAATCTAGAAAAATTAGGAAAATTCTGAGGTTTGGGGTACCTAGTTTTTAAGCAGATCACCATGATGCTTCCCATGCTCATACAGAAATACATCCTATGTGATTTTATTAGGATGTTTTTTGTAAGTCACTCGGTGGTATTACTTGAAGATTTAAGGATTCTTTGATATGAGGAGAAACAGTAAAGTTGGGACCAGAGAAATTAAATGTTAGGGAAAGCCAAATACATCAGTAGGGCTGCCAAAGCCTTGTCTTCCCTGTACTGTGGCTGAGAACATATTCCCAGGCTTACAGACACAAGCACACGGGTGCAGCGTGTACATGTGTATATATGCAGGACACACAAATTGGCACAAATGGATGCAGTCAACATTAAAATGAACAGTGGCCTCACCCTTTTTGGCTGATGGCAATGAAGTATATTGCTGGGATATATATAATATATCATAATACAGTATAGTATATACATATAAAACCACATATTTCCCAGTAATGGATAAAAAAAAATAGTTGTGATTAATACTTTATAGCATTAAATTACATATATATCTATCAGTAATGGAAATAAAATTCCAGTGTAGATCCTGGAGCAGCTAAGCTTAGACACTCAGTCTGCCCAGTAGCTGCCCCTTGATCCCAGTCTCCCCAGTTGATTGCACTTGGATGTACCAACCTCTGAGGCTGCAGTTCCACTCCAGTTGCCGGTACAGTGCATCTCACACACACGCAGATGCAGCTCCCTGACCGATGGCCAGGACCCCTCCTTATCTCTGTGGTGACCGTACACCTCTGTAGCAAGAGTACTGACACCTCTTTATGTGCACTGACCCCTTTTTATCTCTCTGTCCTTCAGAGAGATGGTATCAGTAGAACTTTACACCAGGACTATTAGTGCTGTCTGTGGACTGACCTTATACAGTTAATTCTCTGACCATGTGAGACAGTTTGAGGCACAAGTCAGTGTGGCCACATTACCAGCTCATAGGCTTGGTAAATAAAATCGCTCTGCTGATTTTGGATCTAATCTTGGAGAGAACGATACTTGGACACTAATTGAAGGATTGTTGCACCAAATTTTTATGTGATGTACATGTGACCAGAGAGTCATGGTACTGATGAAACTCGTTAGAGCAAGATTTAGCCTGTTCTGAAATGAACATCTAGTAGACCAAGCAGGTCATTGGTCAGCTATCACGAAGTGAAGGGTGGAGTCAAGCTCTGTTTCCACAGAGAAAGTGTTGAAAATGTGAATGTGGTTTACAGTAATGCAAACAGGAAGGGTATATTAAAAAAAACCCTAGTAGTATACTAATTGGTTCTGCAAGTGAAGCAACAGAAGAGAACCTGCAGTGCTGACTGTAGGATGGATCTGCTTTTTGGTAGAAGCTGACTTCTGTCGTCTCTGCTGTAACTGGGAGTGAAGGGTGGGAGTGAGATATCTTTTCTGTGTTCTTTTCTTCTGATTGCAATGCATTTTGAACAGCGATCAACCCCTGTTTTGGAGGAGCTTTGCTGGAGGAGGGGGGGCGGGTAGCCGAGTGGGAACTGTTTTCCATGAAACAGTTCTGTAATAATTTGAAATGGAAATACTGTGGTCAGTTCTCTGAACCAGCAAGTCTGAGGATGCAAGCTGCTGGTAAAGCAGGTAGGCTCAGTGCTCTGCTCACCCCTCTGCTGTTCTCTGTCTGGAAGCCACAGTGTGACTGGGCTCAAAAGAAGATAGATACTGCATAGATACTGCTTTTTGCACTTTTTTTCAGTCTTCATTGTAGCTTTATTGTGAGTTACAAATGAACAGGTATTAATTTGTGTTCAGGACTTCAGCCATAAGACAAGTCTGCAGAGTTTGTTTGGTGCAGGAAGAGCAGGGAAAGAAGGAAACTGTTGTTATTCCCGAAAAGTTTGCTTTGGGAATCAAGAGAGGTTTTGCTACTTTTTTATGTGGAAGATGTAAACTGTCTATACTAAGAGAGTACTATTGCTAGCAAGCAGTGTGGCATAGGTGAGTTTATAGTACTTTCAGCTCACAAACCTCTCAAGGTGGCATTTCGTTCAATATTTTCTTTTCAATGACTGCTCTGACAGCCAGCTTGCCCGACTAACAAGGCCATCCTTTTAGCGGACTGCAATCCTAAGAAATCGAAGTTGAAGGAAATTAAGGCAGTGTCTGCCTTCTAGAACAGTGCGAGTTTAAGACTTTTTGCTGCAAAAGAGCAAAACATGAGTCATCGCTGTTCTGCAGCCAACAGTCCACCAGGGACCAGCGTTCTTCATGACGGTGGGATTAACAGCGTTGGCAGCTTGCTAAGAAATCAACTGGCCTTGCGTTATATGTCCTGGAATGCTAAGCAGAAATTTCATTACTGATGTAGCTCGGGGAAAAACCTGCCCTCTTTCCCCTCAAGTGTTTGACACAAGAATTTCCTAACAACCAGTAATGGAAAAGAAGCAACATTTGACTTTTGAGTGCATAACTTCAGCAAGTTCTGCTCTGAGCTCCTGACCTCTGTGCTGACTGTTCCACGGTACTCCAGATTACCAGAATTTGCTCCTCTCTCTGTTTCCTTAACTGTTCAATGGAAAACAAGGCAGGATTATTTCTCTGCCAAACATCAGCCTTAGAGACCCCCAGATATGTAGTGCTGCATCACTGACCATAGTCATATTGCTTATACAGCTGTGGTCAGTGAAAGCCTTTGATGAGATGAGACAGGGCTGGACACAAGGACTTCCCCACAACAGCAGCTCCTAGGCAGTATATTTGAAGTGTCTGATTGTAATACCTCAAAGTGGACATTCACAATGGCTCAAGTGCTAAGTAAGAAACACTAAAAATAAATGCACACAGAAATTTGAAGTAGTAAATGCTTATGAGAATGCAGAAAACTAGAGGATGTCAAAAGTATCGTTTTTCTTTGGAGCTGTAAGGGGGTATCTTCATACACCTGCATCCACAGGTGAGAGGCCTCCCTCTAGAAAAGGTCTGTGTGCCCTTTTGCTCAGAAAATCTGGCAAGGCTCACTTAAGTCTTTTCAAATGCGTTTCAAGAGGGAGAGGCTGGTGAAAGCTGTATGTAGAAGCCTAATGACAGGAGCACTCACACAAGATGAGGGAAATGTGTCTTTACCTTCCAGGCTGAAAGTTACAGAAGGTTCTGGGCAGAAAAAAATGTAAACTCAACATTCAACAGGTGATTTCTTTGACGACTAAAGGGATTACTGCCTCATCTCAATCCAAATGATGTGCCACACAGATCTCTTGTCTGAAGGTTTTTCCGACTTTTGACCTTGTGTCCTGACAGCAGACAAGGATTGGTGGAGGGTCCTGATCTGCTGGTGTTATTACAGCACTCTTCATCAGCTCTGTCCTAGCAGGCAAGCACTGCTGCAGAGATCTTCTCTGAACAGGATGAACTCTACCTGGTTCTACAGCTGTTTCGTGGGTTGCATGCCCAGGCTTTCAGCCAGACTGTGCCAGCCACATGGTTCCTGCTACTCCAGTGGCGAAGCTGATGGACTTGATGCATCAAGCAGAACTCTAGTCATTGACGGTGTGAGATGCTTAACAAAAAGCATCAGAATAATTAGTAACTTAGTAGCTTTAGTAAATTAGGAAGAGTGACTGGAAGACTACCCAAAGGAAAAGGGCCTGGGGCTGTTGGTCATCAGCCAGCTGAACATGAGCCAGCAGTGTGACCAGGTGGCCAAGAAGGCCAACAGCATCCTGGCTTCTGTCAGGAATAACATGGCCAATAGGACCAGGGCAGTGATTTTTCCCCTGTATTCAGCACTGGTGAGGCTGCACCTCGAATCCTGTGTTCAGTTTTGGGCTCCTCACTACAAGATAGACACTGAGGTGCTGGAGAGCCTTCAAAGAAGGGCAACAAAGCTGGTGAAGGGTCTGGAGAACAAGTCTTATGACAAGTGACTGAGGAAACTGGGGTGGTTCAACCTGGAGAAAGGGAGGGAGACCTTGTCATTCTCTATAACTACCTGAAAGGAGATTGAAGTGAGGTGAGAGTTGGTCTCTTCTCCCAAGTAACTAGTGATAAGACAAGAGAGAATGGCCTCAAGTTGCACCAGGGGAGGTTTATATTGGATATTAGGAAAAATTTCTTCACTGAGAGGGTTGTCAAGCATTTGAACAGTCTGCCCATGGAAGTAGTTGAGTCCCCATCCCTGGAGGTATTTAAAAGAAGTGTAGATGTGATGCTCAGGGACCTGGTTTAATGTTGGGCTTGGCATTGCTAGGCTAACAGTTGGACTCAGTGATCTTAAAGGTCTTTTCCAACCTACACAATTCTATGGTTACTGGCTAACAACATTTATTGCAAAACAATAAAGATTTGGCAAGTTACATGTGCTACTATGTTACCTACGTTTCAAAAACTTTTCAGTAAACATACTGTTTCTCCATGTTTCTGGTAGTTTTTGCCAGTTGACCAGGCTGTAAGTGACCTACACTTCTGTGTTTATATCATGTTTCCACAGCAGTTTTCTTTTGTTTTCCAGGAAGGGATGTGGCTGACAGATGGTACAGTGAAATAAAAAATTACAGCTTTCAAAACCCAGGGTTTTCTTCTGGGACAGGTAAGTTCAGACTGGGCACTGTCTCTTAAAAAAAGCAGCTTTTATTTTAAGAAATTGGCTACCAATATTGTTTAACATTTTTTTTCAAAAATATAGGGGGAAAATAAATTAGAATTTCCCCGAAGTTTTGTGTTAGAAACTGAGAAAAGGGTAAAAGAAAACTGAGAAACGAGGAAGTAAGCAATATTTGTAGGTTTTTCTAGTATCGTATTTTCCCTTCGACTCCCTAATTTTTAAAAGGTAACTTATTTTTAAGGAAAATTAATTTGTAGAAAATACTAAATTGGAATCATACAGGTGTCTTACTAGATGTTCTGTGCTTTTGTTTACATTGACGTGTGACTTCTACCGAATTATATCACTCCAGTCCCAGGGCTCTCTTAATATACTGTTTGGAGCAGGAGCATGCCACTGATTGGATATTGATAATCTGATGTTGAAGGAACATCAGAACATTGTTCCTTGAACAATGCTCAAGCAAGAGACATGCCTGAGCTTCTTTCAGATGAAGAAAATCACATTTTCTTCCCATGGGATTTGTCTGTGTGTAGGTGAACAAGTGACCGAACAGCACAGTGCAGGGGTAGCTATCACAGCTAGGCAGAAGAAGCCAAAAAATCAGTACTATTTTGAACAAATGCACATGCAGACACATGAGGGAGTGTGAGATAGTTAAAGAAAATGAATAATAGTCACTGTCAGAGCTGCTATTCACATCTCAGGGAGTAAAGAGTGTGATGTCTTTGTCCAATAATATATCAGGTACTCATCAAACTGCTTTCATGGTTCTCCTACTCAGATGTTCTTACTTGAATATAGGACGTGGAAGTGGGAATAGTAGTGTAGAACCAGACCAGATTAGGCTTTTTCAGGACAAACTGCTAGATGTAGGGGATTTTTTTCACGTCCTTAGCTTGTTCTCCAGTTAGGGAAAG